CTAAAGAGGCTGAAGTGCACTGCCGTAAGGAGACTTAAGCCACTTTCACTTGAACTCTATTTTAGAAAGCTAAGCCACAAAAGACACGCAAAGAAATTGCAGGACGCAAAAAAGACATGGGGAAGGGGTAATGTATTAAAGACACCCTCCTTGCAACAGCACAAGACTTTCCATCTTTACAAAAGTGCAAGGACAAAGTAAAAACATATGTTTATACTCAGTGGTAGGTAAACTCTTTTCCTTTCAGTTCTACCTAGCAATCAATAAATAGTTTATCACCAAAGTACCTTTCTTTTCCTAATAGACGTTAACGACAGTAATTACTGGCCCAATTCTATATTCTTAGAGTTTCCTACAAAATGATGACAGTGCCTCTGTATGACTGACTGGACTTGTCATTTTGAAGAATTCAAGAGCTTCCCTCTCAAATTTTTAGCTGAAGCAGAACAAAATCAAAAGTATGTGAACAAAATTAATAAAAGTAAGACTGTGGGCAACCCAAGTACACACAGTATTAAAGTTTTTTAAAAGATTAGAATCTGAATGAATAATACTTACCCATTTGCCAAATTGGTGGCCTCCCTCATCTGGGCTATTGATCTATTTACTAAATCAGCCTTTCTCTGATTGTAGACACTCAGAGACTGCTGTACTGACAGAGGAACCATCTTCTCAAAAAGATCTATGATTAAGGCATCATAATTATTTAAACTCTACTGCAATGTCTTCACAACAAACCTTACATATATCTATTTACTATCATATTGTATTGATACTTTCATTTCTTACATCACTTTACATTGCATAGGGGAAACCACTGAAAGAAGGTAGTCACATTCTCCATAAGTCTGTTTATTGCCATGAAACCTACTCCTTGAGATGTGTATGTTTAAGATTTGTGTCACAAGCAGATCAATTTTAATAGAATATATTTAAGTAAACAGTTAAAATTTAACTAGCTCAGTACCCCCTCCCACAGTACAAACCAAACTTGTTACGTCTCTGCTGGACATTTTGCTTACCTGTGAACTTCTGACTGATAGGAATAACAACTGGGGTCGATTTTACAAGACTGGCTTTGCCAATGGGCTCTAGATCTTTCAGGTCAGGAACTCGGTCATGATATATGAAGTCATTGTCCTTCTTGGCAGCTGTAAGGGCACGGCTGATTTTGTCAGATAAATCTTTTACGTTTATATACTCATCATAACGAGATGCCACCGTTTTTACCAAGTCTGATGCATGCTAGAATCAAAATAAACATAATTTAGTTTAAATAACCCTTTCTTCCTCCTCCCTTTAGTACATACTATGCTTACACAAACTGGTTTTTTTTCTCAGTGAGTCAACTGAGAGCATTGCAGAGGAGTATAATCAACATTATTGCCTCCTACCTATTGAAGAAATGTCCCCCAACTGAGTATCAACAACTATAAGCAAAATGTCTCCTCAAAATAGACCTAGCGACTCTCTACAAAGTTCTGTCAATAGGATCAAGTTAACTCTAGTGTGTCCCAACATAATCTAAGTCCCCAAAATCCAGAGAAATCAATTATCTTTTCGGAAGTAAAGAGGTAAAAATTCTCTCACAGGCTTATCTATAAAAGTAGACACTATTTTGGGCCCAAGGCTAGGACCAAGGTGGCTGCTGCTTGCTTACGGATTGTGACAGCTGTAGCAGGTGGTGAAAAAGGGAACTTCCCTTCTGAGTCTTCCCACAATGCTATTAAAAGCTCATGGAGACACCACATACCAATTCCCATCCCACATTTCTCACAAGAAAGGTTAACTTAAAGTGTAGCTTTTCAGCTTTCTGCCATGTGTGGCTGCCTACTATATCTGGCTTGGGATCTGAACTGAAAGGAAATCTTCAGCTCCACTGAACCCCTCACCATAAGACTAAAGCAGGGGTGGCCAACCCACAGCTCCAGAGTCCACACTTTTGAGTCCAAACTGAGTAATGTGCTGTATGTGAGCGGTCGCATCACGTGACATGACACAACAGCTATGGAAACCAGTCACCATGTGCAAAGATTCAAGGAGATGCATAGTAACTTCTGAAGAGCCACATGTGGCTCCAGAGCTGCAGGCTGACCACCTGTGGACTAAAGGAAGTGCTGCTGAGACTGCAGGGGAGATTGAACAAAGTATTGTTGCTTTACTGTCTGCTTTCCTGCCAAACTGTAGGACCCCTGATGGAAAGCAGGATAAGATTAGGATTGCCATTGATTGAGGCTAGGAGGAAGCCATCTTTTACTAAAGTGCTCCTCCATGCAGTCACTCACAGTAGTCCAGGAGAGGGAGAAGCAGCAGCAGCTAAGAACCAAGCACCAACTATACACCTAATTTTCTAATTTTCTTCCCCTGCCCAGTTAGAAAACCAGTATAACTATGCCAAATGTCTTCACTGGAAAGATGAGCCACTGGTTACAACACTATGGAACACTTCACCTACTCCTTGTCTGGCAGAAACATATCCCTCCCTCAAAACACTCCCATTACCTCTGGAGAGTGTGGCATAAAAACTGGTTCTGCTAGTTGTACTTCTGAGGACTACTCCATGCTACTGGAAATGCCAGTTACTCTGTTGCCTTTCTGTCAGTCAGCCAAACAAGGTGCAAAGTCTACCCCACTCATACTATGTACAGTACCTTAGCCTTTTCAGATAATATTTCACTTTCCTTTTAAGTCTTACAACGTCAACTGCCAGACAGCACCACAGTGAAGAACACCTCCCGGGTAAAAGGGCCTACCCTAGAACAGTCTGGAGAGGGAGTAAGGTGGATCACATAATATTGAAGAAGTGTATACAGTGGATGGAACTGCCTGTGTTATTCATATGAGTAGGTGATACTGAGAATTTTATTGAAAAAAAAAAAAAAAAAAAAAAAGAAACTTATGCAACTTCAAACCATAGCTTTCTTCCTAATGCCAAATAGTTAAAACGTATTAGTTAATTACTGAAAATATGATTATCAAATGCATAAAGTGATGTTAACATGATGAAAACAAGGTATGTTAAGGACATAAATATTGTATCATTTTCCATTTTTCCTCACCGTTCATTTTGAGACTGTCCCATAATAGCCGAGAACTATTATAGGAGAAAGTAGCAAAAAATCTTCAGTACCCATATTTTTTGATCAAAAGCACAATACTAGATCTGGTTTAAATAAGCTACAACTTGTGACTAGAAAGCAGAGGCTGAAACAGTATTTGAATCTGTCAGACTTCTTCCTGCTTTCAGTCATACCTCAAAAGTCATACAACAATAGCCCCTCACAGTATTTGAGATTGTTGGATTTTGCTAGAAGGAAGGTATGCTTTTCTGCCTTGGCATTTTTTTTAATGCTACTTTTCACGTTCATGGCTCTTCATATTAGCCAAGTTATTTTTTTTATTAAGCCAGTTTATATAGTTTAAAAATAGAACTGAAAAATAAATTACTTCTGAAACAAACCTGAAACATCACAAAAAGGCAGGTAAAGAAGGATGACTAAATCTCAGCTCCAGTTAAGGATTAAATTTAATTGGTAAAAGACCAACTCCATTATTGAGAAATTGATGAGAACCAGACTTTATTTTCCTCTAACTACTGATTTAATACCGATGATGAAACATAGGAATGAAGTCACGATGCATAAACTTTTTTTTTTTTCCCAAACTAAATGCCTTCTAGTGGTAACTGGACAGCTATCTCCTGTAGCTAGGATGTTAAGAAATTATATTCAAACACAAATTATATTCAATATGTAAGTTTACAAGAGTTGCTAACAAGCCTGATAGAATTTCACAGCCCTGCCAAACATAAGCTATCCCCATTTTGTTTTGGCTAATAAAGTTATTTACGCTTACGAAAAGTCACGAAGTTACTGAAGACCATCATTTATGATTCCAGATAGCTATATTTAATATTACAATGGGTACAGAGGAAGAACTCTTAGCAAGCCAGGATTTAGAAGTAGAATCTGAACCACAGATGTCCACACTGGTATGACCAGCAAATGTTACTCTGAAACTAAGCTACTGTGGCATTTATTACTCTGCGCGTACATAAACAAGTATGTTGTACATAGTTTCTCATTTTCACTGAAAACATATTTTAAGTCATCCGGTACAAGGTGATTTGCAGAGGCTCAACTTCCATAGTGTTAAAATGACTGTCCTATATATAGAATTAATTGTTGTTCCTTCCTCTCTATAAATATGGCAAATAAATTGACCACTGAAATATGATAATCTGTTTTCTTAGGGCATCAATACAAAATAAGTAACCTCATGTACCAACATATACACTGTTAAGCCACAATAGACTAAAGTCCATCTTCACTTCGCAGTAACTTGACTGCCTTCACTTCTGTTCTACTCTGGGGTAACTAAAAACTCCTGACTAAAACTGCTAACTTACCACAGTTTAGCTTCCTTTTACCTCAGGAAAGAAAAAACAGTTACTGTACAAAAACTAAGCACCTCTGCTTCCCTCTTTAAAATGGTATAATTTGATCATCTGCCTACACCCTAGGAAGACAAAAAAGCCACTCATATACTTAGACTGCAGGTTTACATCAGAGTTAATATTTTACGCACATCTGAAACCACATCATTCACCACAAAAATTCTAATGCTAGTACCATCTAACAGTAAGTTTTGGCAAACAAGTTGTTAGTATTAGTTATACCAGCATAAAAAGGGGTCTTCAAATATAGCCACAGCTGTAGAGCTATACAACAGACGATGTCATGCTTCTCAATATCTGACTGAAACATACTTCAAATTACATAGGTATTTCTCATCTTTGAAGATCCATTTCAAATTATTTAATTCATGTGACTTTCTTTTAAGTGAAACCTTTCAAACTTTGCTTGCTGTTTTAATTTTGCATCTCTGAGTATTGGTTTTTTCCATTAAATAGAAGTTAAATATATTTTGATATTTCTTTAAAAAGTTCTTCCAGGAACCCACCTGTAGTCTCCCAATTTCTTCGCCGAATTTCTTCTGCTGCTTTGCCAGGATAGATTGGTGGTATTGTGCATTGGCCTGCATAAGGCAGTGCTTTGCAGCCAGAACAGGAAACACCTCCTGGAAATAAAAATACTGACCAGGGGAAAGTCCAACCATATAAACCACCACAGACAACATGGGATGCAGGAAGAAAAAGGAAGAAGAAAAGGAAATTAGATTCACCCAATTAATGTTTTAGGTAGGTTAAAACATTAGAGGTAAATGTTAAGAGACCATATGACTTTGCATGGATTGAGTTCAGTGAACAAATATATTGCTGTAGTTAAATCTCTCAATTGTCTTACTGATTTGGGGATTCCAATTCATTAAATTCAATCCATGAAGTCAAACTATTTATTTTACAAAGATCAGAAATTCATGCATGCATTAGAAAGGATAGTAAAGAGAACATCCACAAAGATCCCCAAGCCAAAAGTGCTTAAAAATAAATAACCCTCTTAACCAAGCCACCACTTTTAGATGTCAAGGCAATTGCTCTAAGTCTATTTGATCCCAACATAAACTTTAAGAACAAAAACATTTATCCAGTAGAAGCCCCTGCAACAAAATTTCATTTAGAGCAAGCCAAGATAACTTAAAAATAGTACCAAAGTCCCACAAATAATAATAAAACAAAATTGGAAGATTGAACAAGTCCAGAGTACCAACCAGTAATGATCAAATAAAAAGAATGCCTTGAACACCTTTTAAAGGTTTTTAAAAACTTTTTCCTTGTAAAAGTTTGTTTTCACAGAGTTCCACAAAGAAGTCTACTAGAAATAAAAAAGCATTATATGCAGGCCATAGTATACACATGGTCTCTGATAAAGTAGTTGGTCTTAATGTCATAATATTTCTCAACTCAGAGAACACAAAAACCATGCTCCTTTAAAGATTTAACATTTTATTGAATCATATCTTAACTATTATTTCTTTACCCACTACACTTACATTGCGCATTTGAGTTCTGCCACTGAAACACGGAAGTGCCTTGTGGCCTTTAAACAAACAGGAAAACACAGGAACCCAAGGTATTGCAGCTATAATAGCAGTCATCTAACCAGATCTCAACTCTCACACACCTGGGCTGGGTCAGAGTTTTGATCAGAGATTATTTCAAAGTGCCCAGCAACTGATGGAGGAATGGGTGTTAGTACTTACAGGATTTCTACTCTGCAAACTAACTTTATGAAGTAAGTGGCACTGGAGTCCTCTGCATTTCTCGCATCTGGCTCCATACCAAGTAGCCTTTCCCCAGCAAAACTGTTGTTTGTTTCTAAAGGACATATTTGTTTAGTCTCATACACACATTCACAGACACACACACATGCACACCTGGGTTCCAGCAATATATTTCAGTAACTTATAGGTGTGCAAGTTAATCAACTTGTAGGCCATCACCAAGGTACATCTTGTGATTTCACAAGGTAATGTGAGACCAAAAACTCATTAGAATATGTTAGTTTCAAAAATAAAATTTAGTAAGGTGTTAAACAAGGCAGCATCCCAAAGACTCAAAATACCTTCTAAAATAACGTTCATTAAAGCAGCATGCAAAGGATATTCTGAACATCAAATTGATTAATTTTCAATGAAACCTGATGTAAGCGTCTAAAAAAAACAACAACAAAAAAAAACCCCAAAACCTGACAAACTAAAACTGTATACCACCACTCCCCCCAGATTCTTAAAATATTACTTAGATTCTAGGCTTGTTTACCTTTGGCATAACACCTTAATCAGAAAAATGCTCAAGAAAACATCTCAGGGGAAAAAATAAACAAACAAAACAATGCTGTAGTAGGTATTAAACACCAATTCTGAACACTACAGTATCTCATTTCTCCCCCCCACCCCCCTTAGGATTACTAACCTTGGGCAAAGTATCCTTATACTGACACTGTTTAAAAGCATCACCATAATAATCTGCAGCTTGATTAGCTAGTTTAGCTATTATAGCATCTTTCATTTTATCTGAAATAAAATACAGAATAATCATTATTTGTACCAATGTTTTATGAATACATAGAATAATTGCTTGTAACCACAGTTCAAGATGGACTCCATATACACCCAGAATGGCACCAGTTATATCATCCCCATGATAGCAGAATGTCACAGCATGCCTGCTTCATTCTTTTTTACACTCACTTTTGTCCCTGCCCTCAATAATCCCAAGGGTGAAACTATATTTAAAATAAAAGCAGCAGAACGGTAATGCAGCCACCTTAGTCCTTTGGACTACTTCCTCATGTTTGCAATTATAGATTGCTAAGAAATAGGAAAGGCAAGGAGTAGGAATGTGAGGCATCCATCTGAAAAACTCCCATCAGGCAAGTAGCATCCATTTCATTATGTGACTGCTGCATATTCCCACACATTGAAGAGTTTGTGGAAATGGCACTGTACTCATCGAGACAACTTTAAGTCATCTAATTACAGTGACTGAAGTACTATTACCAAGTGAGTGGCCAACTGGGATGCTACATCAAATACACAAATGCATCAAAAGTACACAAACGTAACAGCTCTGCAGATTTCTATAACATAAATCACTTCAAACCTTTTCTCTTATGAAAATCTAATCCCTAACAGGAGAGAAACTAATTTGAAGCTCAGATCATAAAACACAACACATTTAGGCGTGGACATTTTTTTTAGTGCATTATAAACACGAAATAAAAGCAAAGAATGAAGAAATGAAAATATCTGAAATAAAATGTTCTTTAAGCACCCAGTGCGTGGAGTTTTATTTTTTTCTGAATGAACATGGACTCTGGGAAAGAATACCAACAGATAGCGACAGGTGTTTATGGCACTCAGCTACCATTCTGAGTAAAATAATTGTGATGATGGAGAACCATTTGTACCTGTGAACAAATGAAAGGTAGATCATCCATCCGTCCTGACAGCCTTCATTTGTGTGTCTGGTGGATGTCATGGCTATAATGCAGCGATTCCCAACACAATGCCCGCAGGCACCATGGCACCCACCAAAGTTTATTCAGGTGCCCATGTGCGTTTTCACGATCAGTAAAAATCATTATTCCAACAAAAAATGCTCACTGCCAACTGAATTCAGAACAGCAACACTTCAAAAATTGTTTCACAGGCTGTACACAATGGCTGCCAAAATGAGACTGAGTCAACCTGACTGATGCAGTGATGGAGTGGCACTTACTACTCCCTCCTCAAATGAAACTATGTGCATGCGCATATCCAGAAGTTACCTTGAGTCGGTCACAAGAGACCAACTGGCTGAATTCATATTGGCACCCACTGCTTTTTCTTTTAAATTCAGATGTGCCCTTAGACACATGAATGTTGGGAACCCCTGCTATAATGAATGCTCATACACAAAGAAAGAACATTCAGAGGCTCTATAAACTGAATAAGAACTAAGTCAGGGTCTCATAATGGAACTGGATTTGATCAATGGATATTCATTATTCACTAAACTAGTCACATACTATTTTACTGTGCCTTGGATAAGCTTGGTTCCATTATCAAATATCAATACTTGTAAAACTATGTGGGCATTCACAGATGAGGAAAGACCATAAAGTTTCACGTGAAGCAAGTTATCGAGTATAAATGGGATTGGAACTGAACTGGGGCTGTTACTGGATGGCCCAAATTGGAAACCTTTTCTGCTAGCTGTCATAGCTAACAGACATCTCAGGAATTTTTCAAGTTGTCAGTCTTTTGTTTTGCACTTATGGTGAACAAAATCTCCCTAGATCCATCAGAATACTACAGCCAAGGTAACCTGGTGCCACAAGTAAGGTGTCAGGTGATAAAACTGTTTTAAGATGACAGGTCTATGATCACAGGAGAAATGTGATTAAAGGTGTGGAAACAAATCCTGTCCCACTTCAACCATAGATATCCAAGTTTTGGTTGTCTTACTTTATCTTTCTCTATCTTTATTACTTTTTTGTATAAGAGAACTAGATGGGGACTCTCAGAAGAGATCTATTCCACAGTCAAAATGAACTAAGTCTGCTCTTACTCTTCAACTGAGCTTCATGCATTCTGTATTACACCTTGCTCTAACAGAGCTATTTCTAGATAGCAAAGACCTGATCCATTACTGGTGTCTTCAGAGACAATTCATGCAGCTTTCAAGAAAAATATTACTGTTAAGTTTGAAGTTCTTCTGAACTCAGCACAGCTAACTGAATTTTCAGAAAGGAAGGAAGGATTTTCTGGAAAATCCTCTGGAAGGAAGGATTTCCTTGCCTGATAGCCTAAAAGCACCCAAATGAAAGTGGGTGTTTGTATACCAAGAAATATTTTTTTCCTATTTATACCAAGCACCCTAATCTCAAGAAAAAGAAGCATGTTCAGGGGCCTTTCTACACATCACATTTATTTCACAATTTAACATGTTAATAACAGCATAAATGTCAAAAATGTGATATGTGCATTCAATTTAAAGCACCATAAAACAGCAAACGAGCTATAAAAACATTCCACATATAACAGAAAATTATGACTGGTTTATGACACCTTAAACTGAACTTGGGAAATGTCTGGAGCTGCCCCAGAGCTGGTGCTGACATCAGTTGAGCCCAAGGACTCAAGCCAGTGCCACAGCCAATAGTCAGCTGATTGTCAGCCCCACCCCAGCACAGCCCTGGGTCATGCCAGGTTGTGGGCATCTGATTTTCAACATACCAGTGCGGGGGAAGCCCAGGATCAGGTGTGGCGTGACAGCAGAAACAATTATTGGGATTGGGGATCAGATCCCATAGCTCCTTTAAGTAAACATATGCCAGAAGCCCAGGACTTAATCTAAGGGAGAATATCTTCTTGATTTAGATGTGCTGCCACAGAGAGACACTAGCAGATTCTCAAGGGACAAGAGAAAGACCAAATGAAAGGACCCCGTCCTGAAGTATGGAAGAAAAGTTACTTGTGATGCAAAGGTCCAATAACAATACAGAAATATGCACATTAGAGAACCCCCCAGACATGCTGGATGGACAGGGAAGAAGTCACATTTAACTAGATTCAACATGAAGAAACTGACCTTTCTGCTAAAGAGCTGGGTGTTCTCAGATACCTCACATCTTTTATATCACAGTATCTGGAAATTAATTCCTTCTTTCTAAATTCCTGTAGAACTTCAGCTATGGCCTCTACTTTCCAGAATATGCAAACCTGTTTTTAGCAGACTGTCATGCTATAAAGGGATGGTATCCAAGTGTATAGAAGTGCCTCTATGAATTGCTCCTAGGATCCTTTTTGCTGTGGTAATGGTACTCTAGTCACCATACAAGTGAGGAACACAAGAAGAGCATTTACGGTTCAATTTAAGGTTTGTCTGCAGTCTAGAAGTGGTTTGAAGATCACTTCTGTGGAGGCTGGACAAGAAGCTGCAAATGCTGGCTAGTAGCGACATATTTGTATGAAGTACTAAGGTATGGGTGAACTATACGACTGTCTATATTTTTAGATATGGGAGCTCTAAACCTTCTTCTTGAAGGCTTGATAAACTCCCAGCAAACTCGCTGATACAATAAACCTCATTGTCCTGAGAATTTCATTTGTGCACTGAAGTCACATTCCAATAGCAGATCTTCCACTTATTGCTCCTGAGGAGTACAAATAATGCTAAATTGTCCAACAGTGAGAAATGATCAGGTGAGGATAATTTGCAATTAGTAGGAAGAAGAGAGAAGGCTGATGGTAAAGTATCAGAACAGTAGCAAGTTATATCATAATGACAATTGGAAGACTTAAGGATCTAAAGCCACACTTTTAATCTGTTCCACCAAGATGTCATTGCTGCTCTTGGTGCTGGCTTCATCTGGACTTCCCTAAATAATGTTATTAAAAGGGGGTGAGAGACTGTGGGTTGGGAGTGAGGGGCACCAGCATATCAGGGCTGCTCAGTGCCATAAAGCAGCGGGGGAACAGCTGCAGCTGGACCTGCATCCTGGTTGGCAAAGGTGCACAGGGGAGCTCTGATTTTCCATGATTTAAAAAAAAAAAAAAAAAAAAAATCAAACACCAAAATATATAGGTATTTGGAATTTATGATGATGATTGAGGCACTGGTAGGCTTCCAAATTGATTTAAAATTGTAAATATATCCATAAAACATTGTGTTAAACTGATACCTGTATGTATGCATGCATGCATGCATGTGGCATTTCATTTTATTCATGGAAAAATGCGGATTTTGGGGTTTTTTAAATTAGAGAATTCAGGAATTTTTTTTGTTTAACCAGAGAATTTGCTGTTTTTAAGCAGAGAAAACCAGGATCTCTGGTAACCAGTACTGCTATTGCAGGGAAAAGGAGTGAATGAAGAAAGGAAAAGATATAAAAATAACAGTCAAAATATCGCATTCATGATTTTATCATGTATATATACACAATAATGCTACCAAAGAATGTATTGTACCAGGAGCAAAACTTTTAATACAAACATGAAATTAACATGGATCGGAATCAATTAAAGCTATTTTTAAGGAGCCATTTGTGTCACCCAACTAAGAAAGAGAGGTCCATGGGAAAATGCAGGATGAAAAAGTTTAAATTACTTCTATCGCATTGTTATTATGCTAATTGACTTTTGAAGGACATAGAATAAAAACAAAAGTTGTGAGAGGGCCTTTGCCCCTTCTTGACAATATGTTTCATTATTCAAATGAATAAAACATTTGTTAAAGTTATAAAGAGCATTCTAGCACATTAACTATAAATAAATAAAAGTTATACCTCTGGTAGCTTTTAAGAAAAACACTTCTTGAGCTTGAGCCAACATAATAAGACTGAGGGTTCCAACTGTATCTGGAGAGATGTCAACTGTGGGCTCTCTATTCAATGCAGATAAGACGGTGTCTTTAATGTGTTGGAAGGCACCACTAGCAAACTAAGCAAAAACAAAAAATACATTTTAAAAAGATTTTTTAAAAGAAAAACAGAGCCATCTATGTTTAAAAATAAGCCCTTTTTTCTTTTTAAGTAGTAGCTGATGGTAACGGGGAGACCATCAATGACAACGTCTAGAATTTGGGCTTAAGAGCTCTGTAAGTCTACCTGCAAGTTTACATTCGACCTGCACTGCGACAATTAACCAAGATGAGGTGAAAGACTCTAAATTAAAGCTATGAAGGAGAACACTATTTAAATATTAAAGAATTAGAGTGCTCCTCACACAATGAAAAAAAGAGGATTATTATGGTCAAAAAAACATGTTAACAGTGTTGGCAGTTAACTATTACATATTAAATCTCAAGCTGCAGGTCAAATTAGCCACTGGTTAGAGCAGAGAAGTTTATCATGGGACTGAATTCTGCATTTTGTAGGTGCTTAAATATCATCTAAAACACCTGGCACTGGTCTGAATAAAAAAAACATGGGTCTGGTACAGCAATGCAATGGAGAACTGAGATGTCTCAAGCTGTACAGGAAACAAGAACTAAGAAGTCAGAGGTCTTTTGAACTATTACAGCTAGTCAGCCTGTGGGGAGAGAAGGGACAGGGGCAGATGGTGAGGGAGGGAGTGGGTCAGGGGCAGAGGCGGGGCAGCGGTGAGTGGGGGCCTGGCCAGTCGGTGGGAGGGGTGGGGGGGGGGGGGGGGGGGGGGGGGGGATGTCCCACCACTGTGCACAGCCCAGCAGAGGCCCAGGGGTATGTGCCCTCCCTCACCCTTGCATTCAGAAAAAATACAATTTTATACTCCACTTCAGCTTTCCATTATTTCACCCTACAGCAGCCTCCAGTTCCCTGATTACGCTCCTAACACTTCAATAGTTCATTATGGCTGTATCTACACAAGACACTTTACTGTGCACTAGATTAATCTACTGTGCAATAAAGCGGCACTGTCTACATGTGCAGGTACTTACTGCTAAGTAAATTAATCTATGCAGGTAGTTTACTAATCTATGCAGCATGTGCAGGTAGTAAATTTACTGAGCGGTAAAGCCAAGTGGCATTACTTTCATGTGTAGATGCATCCCATGTTACCAAATATTCCAAATGTGGCTAAGCTGGAAACAGCACATCGTTTTTGTTGAAAATATCCTTCACCATCCCACAGTGCCTCGTTTGACCAAAACAAGGCAACCAGGTGTCGTCAACCAGGTGTCGGCCAAATCAGTACTTGGAAAGAATACCTGAGGTGTCCTGTATCAATAAATGCAAGCCCTCAAAAATAATATAGGCAACTGAATTTTGGATGATGGTGGGAACTTGCCACAACGCCCAGATTTTAGTAGATGAAAAATGTAACTGATCCAAATAAAAGCTTTTAAAAGGAATTACCAGAGACATAAGCCACAGTCCAACAACTTTAGAAAAACAGAAACTTATTTACAGCGCTTGTCCAACCGGTAAAGATGACTTACAATATTTCTCGAACACGGTAGTCCATCATTTTTTAAAGCAACAAGTATCAAGGAAGGACACTTACTCAGCAGAGATCTTAGCACCAAAGAAAGCAACTCATGTCTACAGGTTAAAATAGCAGAGGATTATTTGAGGTTCTGAATTTCCATTTAGCACTCCAGCATGCAATTGGAAGGCCATGGTTTTAATTTTTTCCATAATCAAAGAGTCGTATATTTGTCTGTAGCGAGATTGCTTAATTTTAGTGAACAGCAGTTCATGTATTTTACTAGTGTTTGTACTAAGACCTTCATACCTGATAATATTTAGCAGCAGCTTTCAGTCCTTCATCATTATCCAGATTCTGTTCTGCTGCAATCTGGCTAGCTAATGCTCCACAGTTGAACAGAACGCAGGTTCTCTCATATCCCAGGCTTGCCAGGGCTGGAATCAAAACCCAGTTAACAAACCATAGTGAAATATACTAAAGTACTACACTCTCCTAGAGATAGTAAGGTTTACATTTATACAAGATGGTTATTGCCTATATTTGAAGGCCACAGGTAGTCTCAAACTGAATTTCTGAAACACCAACCCTACTCTGATCTTATAGGCTAGATGTAGTTCTCAATTTCAAGATTATCCAGGGGAAACTGGACCTTACAACATCCTTTAGTGCAGCACTTTTCAAACCTTCATGATTTAGGATTGTATCTGTATCAAGAAAATGACATGAAAGATAACACTGGTTCCACCACGTACTGTATAACACCTACTGAAAATGAGAATTCACACAATAGATTATACAGATTTTCCTTGTGCTATCTTCTCTTTCATGCATTAAGCAGTGAAATAACTGACAACGTTGACATTTAGGGTACCATTATTACCAGAGATAAAACTTACTAAAAATATATGGAGCAGTTCACGTCTTAGAGCTACTGTTTCAGGTCCCCTGCAAACTGAGGCAGATATCTACAAAGCAGTAATGCGGGCTTTATGGTCTCAATTTTTTTTGCAACTGTAACTGCTTAAAGACCCATTGAAATGACAGCTAGCACTTTGAAAAAGTGAGTTTTGTCCAAACTACAATCCTCTGTGTTCATTCTCAGCCCTAAAGGATAAACCTCACAATTTAGGAGACACTTACCTCCAAATAATCAAGGACTAGTACCTATGAATAACCCTAGAAAAATTATAGGTTTATAATCTCTTTCTACAAAAAGCCAGCTTCATTATGCAGCGACACTTATGCAGTGGACCTGTATTTTATATTAATTCATAATTTTAGCAGTACTTATCAAGCACCAACTATTATGCTGAAACAGTACTTGGCCAACCAGGGAAACAGACAGAGAAAATTTAGTTTAGGTTTAATTTACATAGTTTCTTTACGATTACTCGTCATTATCATCTCTCTCATCGACTTAATTTTCAAGTTTTCCAGCAACAAAAATCTTCCCTCACTCTACCATAACACTCAGATGAAATCAATAGTGTTTAAAATTAACACAAAAGGAGAAAAAATGAGACCAGTAAGTTTCAGAAATGGAAATGTGAAAAGCCTAAAACTAGTTAAGGCTTTGCAAATGTACCCTCATGTGTTAAAAGTTTATCTAAATTTCTTCTTAAACTACATAGGCCCCAGCAAATGCCCACTGAATAGAATAGTAAGACTCCTACTAATTTTACTAAGTCATATTAGGCTTATCATCATTAACAGTTTATGACTCTCAGAATTCAGTATTACAAGGATTAAGCATTTTATTTTCATTAAAGTTACCTACCAAGTTTGACAGATCCTCCAAAGAGTGACCCTTTATCAAAGGCATCTTTCCACGTAAAGGTGACACAGATCTGCAATTGAGGAAGGAAAAAACAGTTTAAGCTTAATATCTGCATCTCTATGCTGCCTCATTTTTAACCAATCTTCCATCACACACCTGTATGGGTCTGGTATTAATATCTTCATTAATGTTTAGGACAATGGGATCAAGTGCACACTTAGCAAATTTGCAGATGACACCAGGGTGAGTAGAGCTGCAGATACTCTGGAGAGCAAGGTTAGGATCAAGAATGACTTGGATTGTGGAGCATTTTTCCAGTCTATCAGATGAGATTCAACACAGACAAGTATGAAGTCCTGCACTTGGAATGGAATAACTGCATGCACTAATTCAGACTGGGGAATAACTGGTTAGACTGCAGTACTGGAGAAAAGTACCTGGGGGTTACAAGGGACCATAAACCGAATGAGGCAACAGTGTGCTCATATTGCAAACAAATGCCAACCTAGGAATCTTAGCTTTCACTTGTTTTCTGACTTACCGTTTTGGGCAGGGGTGGGGAGAAGCAGCCACAATTATTCTGACACCTGGGATTCCTATTAAAAAATCTCTGGGTTTATCTTTAAATCATGTGTGCATCTTTGCAAACCTAACAGTGCTAATATTGAACGGCACACTTAAAACAACATCACCTTAAAAGGAATGGTGATGGCTTGTAGCTGCTTTGTAAGAAATAAATGCATCTTAACCAAGATTTGAATACTGCCCATTTACTGCATGTGTATAGAGAATTAATTCAAAAGCAGGGGTTTCTAGGGAGCTGCGCACAGAGATGGCAAGTACTTGAGTACTTCTGGATATAATGTAAACAGTCTGCTTTTGAAATTCTACCTTGCAGAGCTGGTTTTAGGCTTCTTATGCCTCTCTGAACCAGTCTGTCTCCAAGGTGCCACCCTGCATTGCCTTTTGCCTGACTTCAGACTAACATGATCGACTGACTTGCTTCACTGAGGTTAACATGGATGTTTGGGTCACTAGTCTCTAAATCTAACAAAAAGCAGGTTCTTTAATCCAGAGAGCAGTCCAAAATTGAGGTTTATCATGGGATTCTACTCCGGGAAAGAGCAAGGCACAAACCTTAGTCTTAAGGAGGGGGCAGATGCATCCAGGGAGGCCCAAAAAGGGTTCAAATTCTCAGCTATTCTTGTAAGCATGATGAGAACTTTGATACAAGCGTACAAGATCTTTGAGAGTTTTTCACTCTCAGAAAGGGTTAGTAAAGGCTGCCTATTCTATACTATCCTACAGGAAAAATGGAAGGAATTATGAACTTTGTTTTGGGGTAAGAAACAGTTAAAGTAAATTCAGATAGTTTCCAATTTTTCAGGGTATCAACATTTCTAGATAACCACAATAAGTTTTACAAGCATAATCCTGAAGGTGCCATTCCAGGCTAAGTTTTGGTGCAGCTATATAAAGAGCTATGTTTTTTTCATTAAACTATCCTGACTTAAAGCACCAGAAGATCTTCCACTGACATCTCAACATCACCATCACTGAACTATGGATTAAACAACTGTCCTCATAGAAAAGCCTGAAACTTTTTGCTGTGTATATTACTGCCCAAAAGAATAACCTTCAAAGAATAAAATGGTAGTGCTCTCTCCTACCTTGGGGGTCTTTAAGAGAGGCTAGATAGGCACCTGGCTGGGGTCATGACCCCAGCACCCTTTCCTGCCCAGGCAAGGGGTCGGACTCAATGATTTGTCGAGGTCCCTTCCAACCCTAGCATCTATGAATCTATAGCGACCCTGCCGTTATCAGCACTGGTAGAACCAGCTATGATGGTGACCCAGTTTTCTTGCTCCTCCACAACACAGATAAAAAGGGGAACAGATAATCTTATTATTTCAGGGAAGGACAACTGTGCACAGCATGCAGCAGGTTGGGAAGAAATCTGTAAACAGTACACATAACACGGTAGCACCCACGGAAAGCAAGGGACTTAACCTCTGCTTTAGAAATGATGCAAATTATTTTTTTTAATGGAAGTACACCTTCTCGTAGGTGTACTTCCATTAAAAAAAATAATTTGCATCATTTCTAAAGCAGAGGTTATGCTCCAGTTTTCCCTTTGAATTAGAAGTTCTGCAAACGAAGGAACTATTTCCTGTGTCAGTATGTACACAGCAAATTTGGGGGGGGGGGGTTGTAAGTGTAAAGGCAAAAATACATTGACAAGGTTTCAAAGGGTGAAGTTCACAAACTGCTGAGAATAAAATATTTTTGTGTCTGTTAAAAATTCAAGAACCAATATCCAATATATAAGGATATTCCACCAAAAAAAAGTTTTTGGTTTTTTGAGGCCCCCTCTACATGTTACAGGTATTAAGCAATTAACTGGTTAATTGTGCAGTTACCTAGAGACCAGCTACACGTATAAAGTAGCTATCACACAATAAAAAACTCCAACCAGCTATAAAATTAAACCTCAAAAATGTGTACTAATTTTACAGCTGGCTGTTACTGAGCTTTAATCTGCATGCATAGCAGGGTCTCCCCTGCAGCTAGGAGCCAGGTTAGCTGACCTCCAGCTCTGCAGTCCAAACCACGGGGGCACCCCATGGACACCTGAGGCAGGAGGATTAAGATTCCCCCTTCCCCAGGGGTGCATGAAACCCCTGGGGCAGAAGGATAGCTGTAGGGACCCCACCAACCCAGGGGGAGCATGGGGTGTGGGGGGAGGAACTGTCCCTGGTGTGTGTGAGGCTCCTAGCTTCAGGAGCTTGCTTGCCAGCGCAGAGGAGCCCAGGATTCAGCTCCCCCTGCGCCAGCAATAAGGCGCAACGGGATCTAATGCACAATCCTACAATCGTGCCTCCTGCCATGCACGTGTAGAAGAGGCCTAACAAATAGACTTTGTAAAACAGACTGTTGTTCTTGATAAATAGAAGGACTGCAGAAGAATACTATAGCAAAGCAAGTGCTGCTGTTTCTGATGGACTAGACCATGGTGACCTTTAAGCAACTCGCAGCTTTTCCAAGTTTGCATTCTGACTTCTATAAAATAAGAGCAGTAGATTAACAAAGGCTGTATACTCATAGTCTCATATAGTCAGTAAACAGAAATTAGGAAAATGAAGCTCAAAAAGTTAAATGTCTGGCTTCAGAAAAGCACTGATGCATGGATTAGATATAGATCTAAATTTAAGAAAAAAATCCCAGGTCCCACAACTTTCACCATCCTAATCCAATAATACTTGTGAAATCACTTCAACATATTATACCTTACCTGATTTTCAGAAAATGGAAACTTTGGCTCTATGGAACACAGCTGATCATAGTACCTAAAGCAAAGAAAAAGAAACAGCTATGAGCTAAAACAGATTTAGAGTTCTGTCAGCTTTTCTCATACTGATGGAGGGCACAGGAGGGGGCAAGGGGTAAAAGGAAGGTTTCCCCCACATATATCCCAGGACCCACTGATAATGCTGAAAAATTCCTCCAGAGATCTGGGTAACCTACTATACCTCGACTGCGAGGAACCACAGTAGTATGTGATGCTCACAATGGGGCCCTGCCTATGCGCACCCAAATCTATTAACATAGAGGTTGGAGGGGAAATAGTGCTAAGTGAAGTTGAACCATCCCACTACCCAAGCAATGAGACCAAGAGAGAACTGGAAGCAAATACAAATAGCCATGGAGAAATAAATTCTTTCTGAGCATCTATAATCAAAATGTTAGCAAACAGTCATTTGACCAACACATCTACCACAATGTCAGCTCAAAAAAAAAAGCTTATCTCCACTCAGAAACTTTTTTTTTTTTTTTTTTTTTACTTATAATCTTTCTTTACACCAAAAGAGACAGACCATTGTCAAACAAATGTCATTCAGTTTGTTTCCCTTCAAACTTCATGAACACTAGTTAAAGCAAGTCACTACAAAGCTTGAAATAAAGCAGATTAAAATTTTAGAAACCTCTATTTGTATAAATTGTTCTATCCAACTTATAAGCATTTAAGTCTTTTTGAGTCTATTGTAAAAGTTTGCAGGTAATTATCCCATAGGTGGCTTTCCAAAGATCTATTTAAATAAGAAAGTTAGGAAAAAGAGACCCACAAATTTTGGAGTAAGGCAACACTGAACAAAAATAAAAGACAAACAGGGTATAACTTCAGAAGCTTAGGGTACAGCAGTCAAAAAACTTGAGGAATCTCAATCTACATTAATATATCCAAAAAGCTGAACGTGAAACACAACTCTGTGCAAGGTCATACTGGCATATAAACAGAGTGATCCCTGAATGCCATTTTATAAAGGGTTTAACACTATTCCAGCAGCTTTTGCAGATTAATAATCAGAGAATAAATTATGCAGGAACCCCAATGGCATAAAGTCAAAATAAAATTCTACAGAAGTCAAGAATAAAGTGAAAGTTATGGGGAATTACTGACAGAAATTTTAAATGTTCACTTAAATCTATGAATTGGTACACTACCTGATTTTTACCCTCTGTACTTTAATTCTAAACATGTCTTCTGCACAGAAGCTGTTAGTCATTCACATTTCAACCATAATTCTACTGAGTTTTCTGATCTCATTCAAATCAAAGCTGTTTTTCAATGCAACTAAAAATATATATAAAACTTTTTTTTTACTCTAAGTCTGACCATCTATTCTTGCAACACTTCCGAAGGAGCTCTTCTATAGATTAGTAAAGATTAAAGAAAACCACGCTACCCAATAGATTCAGTGCTCAGCCTAGAAGATCCCATAAGCATCTCTGTAATGTTTAGTTTCAGTTCTCAAGCTGGATTTGTCTCTCGAGAGATAACATCCTTGTTAACACCAGTAAATGGAGATGAGAGATAACAGACCTGATTACCCACCCATCAGTCCTATTGTCTCTCTGCAAATTTGTGTACACAGACTGCAAAGTTTCAAGAAGATAAATTATTATAGGATTGTTGGGGGTGGAATAGATATGGAATCTGAAGATAAATGCAAGGCACTGGGGGAAGCAGAAACAAAAGACAAACATTTTGAGCAGAACATTCCAGAAGCCTTAAGGGATACCTTTTTGAGTGCAGCCTCTTCACTGATTTGATGTCTAGCGAGGGAATGGTATGGTAGAAGGGAAAACCTATCATGGTTTCCCTTGCTTGCCCTAGCAGGCTTACTAGGCCATAAAAGAGACCCTGTTTTGGAATATTTTAATGAAGTTCCTCTACCTGTGGGCAAGACAGGCATTGTGCAAAATGCCAACAGTGCAACAAAGAAATACAAGGCCTGTTGCCCAAATGAAACAACATCATGAGAAGTGCTCTCTCTCAGGAGGAGGAAGCTGCTTTGAAGATGATGAATGGAACATGTCCAAACATGCAGGATCTCCAGGTTATTAAACCTTCTCATTTCTTACTTTTTTCTTAAGGACTGCCTGTCTTTCCTGTCCATATCTTTTGGGTGGACTTCTGGACTACTTGAATTCTCATTAAAATGTTTGAGCAAAAATATAGCTGTTGCTTTATGGAACCATCATATTTTTAATGCAGTTGTGATATCAAATAATGGCCGAAATAAGCAGATCTTCCTTTTACAGTTCACTTCTTAAGTAGTGCTGAGTGCAATATGTAATACTAAATGAGCAGTACTATAGTCAATGCTGTCACAACCCAGTTAATCAGTGCCCATGCCACTAGCAAGAGATACCATTCAAGTAGTCAACTAAGGGTTAAAACAAAATCCTGGCGGAGAGCTGTATATAATTTATGCCCACGTCACGAACAAGAAACGAAACTTAAGACTGGTCAGGGTGAAAGGGGATAGCCCTGCCATAAATCCCTGCAATTGGTCAAGAAACAAGCGTAAGCCCCTCATCATAACCTCATACGTAACAGGCAAAAAACCTAACTCACTACCTTGTAACCTGATAGCAACCCGAGAGCACAAAGAACTGCTGCTTGCCAGAAAATTAAAGATTCCACATAACGGTTCATCATTGGGTATCTCCGTCAGACACCTCTGTCTATAAATAGTTTAGCAACTTCCACCCAGGCGGAGAACCCCGGAAAAACCTCTGAGGAGAGACCTGAGTCCATCACCAGAGTAGATTGACGGTCTGATCAGCTGTCAATACTCCCCGTCATAGTAAATCTTGACATATCAAAGCCCTGAAGGCACGATAGCACGTTTTCGGCGCCACGTCCGTCATTGCTTGGCTGTAACCTGTACGTTTGACTGTAATCGATGCAACTGTAACAGAACAAAGGCTCAGCCTGCGTCGCACGTCACTATCTGGGCAACGTAAATAAACAATCTCCTGTAACCAACACGCATCTGTGCCTGGTTAATTTCACCCCATCCATCACTACCCGCCTGTCAGGTGAAAGTTTTACTGCTCCGGTGGGGGCGGGGGGGTGGGGTCAGAAAGCAGCTGCCGACGCTGCTCTGATCTCCGACAAACGCACTGACTTCTTTTCTTCAGGAAGATCCATCCTCAACATATAGGACTCTGACTATCCATCTTCAACATTATCATGACTGTCTACAGTTTCAGAGTTATCTGCTAATGATACTACAGTTCCAGTCAAATGTATGTCACATAGTACATCACCTGTAGTAAAAAGGTAAAAAATCTCCATTATCCAGAAACAACCATAGATAAGTTTGTAGTAAGAACCAACAGATTACAGCAAGCGATAATTGATGAAAAAAATTGCTCAGTTTGTTTATGCAACATACTCTCCTTTCCGTATGGTTGAGAACACACACTTCCATTGACATGGTTCAGTCATTACGACCGGAATACAGTCGGCCTGACAGAGCAGATATAGCAGGCAAATTACTGGATAAAGTGTATGACAAAGAAATTGAACAGTGTGCAAAAAGTCTAGAGGGAAAAATTGTTAACCTGAGTCTTGATGGGTGGAGCAATGTCCACAATGATCCAGTAATATGTGCTTGTGTGAAAACACAAGAAAGGACACCTACTTTACAGAAACAACTGATACATCAGGAAATGCACACATGGCAGAATACTTACAAGAAATAGCAGTAAAAGTTATAACAGATTTGAATTTTTTTCACAATGTCTAGTACACAGCTTTGTCACAGACAATGCTGCAAATGTATCAAAGATGAGAAGAAATCTAAGTAAAGAAAGCCCCAAGCTAATAACATATGGCTGCAGAGCTCATTTGAAGCACCTCTTAGCCAAAGACTTCAGTGCTCCAGAAATAAAGGCTAATGTTGTTGAAACTGCAAAATACTTCCATAACAACCACTTTGCAGCAGCTGCTCTGAAGAAAGCAGGAGGAACCAAACTAACTCTCCCATAAGACATGCAATGGAACTCAGTAGCGGACTGTTTTGAGCAATATATTATGAGAACTGGCCTAATCTAATGATAATTTATGAACAAAACTGACAAAATAGTTTATGAACAAAATGTCATAGCCAAAGTTCTCAACACTGAGCTAAAGAGAAATGTAAAATGTATGCTGACTATCCTGCAGCCTATTTCCCTAGCCTTGAACAAATTGCAGGAAAAATCACTGTTTTATTGCTGATGCTGTTGAACTCTGGAAGGAACTGAGTGAGACCTTGAAATGAGAAGTATGCAGTGACTGAGTTAAATTACAGATATTAAAAAAAAAACAAATGGATCAAGCACTATCTCCAGCTCATTTTCTTGCCAATATTCTCAATACTCCGTACCAGGGTCAATCCTTAACTGCTGAAGAGGAGGAGTTGGCTATGGCATGGACATCCAGCAATCATCCCTCCATAATATCAACTATAATAGATTTCAAGGCTAAGGGGGAACACCATTCAAGAAGTACATGTTTGCTGATGAAGTTTTAAAGGAAGTCACACCAGCGAACTGGTGGAAGTCACTTAAGCACCTGGATCCAGAGACTATTGGAGTGATAATCCAGCTTTTAACGGCAGTAAATTCTTCTGCAGGTGTAGAAAGAATATTTTCTTCCTTTGGACTAATTCATTCTAAATTGAGAATCACTTGGGAACTGAAAAAGCAGGAAAGCTTGTCTTTCTTTGCCAGACTATGAATAAAACAGGAGAGACAGGTGAAGACTAAGTTTGCTGCATAAACCAGTATTTTAAATTTCTCATGTTGACCTGGATGAAATAATCTATTTAATTTTTCTTAAAAAACACATTTCACATTTATAACTAAAAGAGTTAAAATTCAAAAACACATATGCTTATTTTGTTAAAATAATTATACATGTTGGTTGTTGAAGAAAAATACCCCTAATATTGTTTTATTTAACTAAAACAACAATGTAAATGTCTGTTGTTTTTAGTGCAGGGGTGTAGGT